ACAATCAGAAAACACATATATAATTACATATTGTTTACAGTAGCAAAATTACAGTTATGAAGTAGCAACGAAAATAACTTTATGGTTGGGGGTCACCACCACATGAGGAACTGTATTAAAGGGCCGAGGCATGAGGAAGGTTGAGAACCACTGGTTCACGCGGTTGTGATTATGAAAGAGTATTCTTTTAGGGAACAGAAACCAGAAGGTAGGATGTACCCACAGGCAGACAGGCAGACAGACTCAGACACACGTACGTTCTGGAACTGAATGAACAGAAAAGCTGCAGAATGATGTCTTTAAAAAGAGCATGTGTCTGGCCGGTGCGGTTCAGTGATTGAACATCAGCCTATGAACCAGGAGGTCACAGGCCCGAGTTGCGAGCTCGACCCCCAGGAGGGGGCGTGCAGGAGGCAGCCAATGGATGAGTCTCTCTCATCATCGATGTTTCTCTCTCTCTGTCTCCCTCTCCCTTCCTCTCATGATAAAAGAGTGACCTGCTTCTTCTGACCCCGACTCAGCGTCTCCCTCCTTTCACTTCTCACTGCGCTTCCCGGCGTCGGCACCGAGGGGCAGGGGGGCTTACGTGGTCCATCAGCTCCCGGACCATCCCGTTCCACTCGCCCTGGTCGTCCTGGGCTCCGTATCTGCCGTCGGGGACGAGTCTGACATCGTAAATGAAGCCCAGCATGGCGGACAGCTCCTTCAGAAGGTCCAGGCAGTACCCTTCGAACCTGTCGTTTCCGAACAGGGGCTTGTCCGACTTCCTGTACATCACGTAGGGCTCCTCCTGCAGAACAGACCGGGCGGGGCGGGGTCACAGGAGGCAGAGCCCCGCCAGCGCCATCCCCGCTGGCAGCCAGAGTCTCACAGTGACTTGGAGACAGGGCGGCCGGCACCCACCACCCACCTCCCGCCTCCACTGAGCCTGCTCCCCGTACTCTCCCCTATTATGTCTCTCCCTCGGCTCTTTATTTATTTTATTTTTATAGATACCTTTATTATTTCAGAGAGGAAGGGAGAGGGGGAGGGAGAGAGAAACATCGATGATGAGAGGGAATCACGGATCGGCTGCCTCCTGCACGCCCCCCACAGGGGATGGAGCCTGCAACCCAGGAACGTGCCCTGACCCGGAACCGAACCCTGACCTCCTGGCTCACAGGCCGACGCTCAGCCACTGAGCCACATGGCCGGGCGCCCTCCTCTCTCTTTACGTGACTTTTGAGTCAAAGGTGTGAGGGGACCTGAGTGGTCACGTCCCCTGGGGTCGGGCAGGGGCCGTGGGGGCAGACTGGACCCACACCCGGCTTCCTGGCTTTCATCTAAGAGCTGCCCTGCCCACGGGTGAGTGTGAATCGGCTGAGAAATCTCTGCTTCAAACGTCCTGGCTGTTCTGACTCCTTCTCTCTCGGCTCAGTTCCACCTCAGGGCCTCTCCCCCCTCCTCTGGGTATTTGCTTGGCTTCCTTCAGGGCATCTCACAGCCTTTCTGTCTTTTTAAATCATCAGCTTCGTCAGCCGATGGATGAGTCTCTCTCATCATTGATGTTTCTCTCTCTCTGTCTCCCTCTCCCTTCCTCTCTGAAATCAATAAAAATATATTTAAGAAAAAATAAAAATACAAAGAGCATGCGAGAAAGGCACAGAATGAGCAGCTTGGGCCTGAGATCCGTTGACAAGACGAGGTGTGACTCTGAGCTGCGAACGTCAGAACTCTTAACTGAATGTAAGAATCACCAGGTTTGCTCTCCAGGCGAAGGGCAGCCCAGACACTCCGCCTTCCATCCTCATCCTCGCCTGCCTCCAACGAAGCAAACACTATTCCCAGGTTTTCTCCTACTTTTACTTTTAAAACCATCCTATCTAATAATAGACAAACATGGTAATTGATTGTACCTTCGCTACGCCTTAAGCCACGCCCATCAGCCAATCAGAGCGACTATATGCAAATTAACCCAACCAAGATGGCAGCCGGCAGCCACGGAGCTCCACCTCCCGCCTCCACTGAGCCTGCTCCCCGTACTCTCCCCTATTATGTCTCTCCCTCGGCTCTTTATTTATTTTATTTTTATAGATACCTTTATTATTTCAGAGAGGAAGGGAGAGGGGGAGGGAGAGAGAAACATCGATGATGAGAGGGAATCACGGATCGGCTGCCTCCTGCACGCCCCCCACAGGGGATGGAGCCTGCAACCCAGGAACGTGCCCTGACCCGGAACCGAACCCTGACCTCCTGGCTCACAGGCCGACGCTCAGCCACTGAGCCACATGGCCGGGCGCCCTCCTCTCTCTTTACGTGACTTTTGAGTCAAAGGTGTGAGGGGACCTGAGTGGTCACGTCCCCTGGGGTCGGGCAGGGGCCGTGGGGGCAGACTGGACCCACACCCGGCTTCCTGGCTTTCATCTAAGAGCTGCCCTGCCCACGGGTGAGTGTGAATCGGCTGAGAAATCTCTGCTTCAAACGTCCTGGCTGTTCTGACTCCTTCTCTCTCGGCTCAGTTCCACCTCAGGGCCTCTCCCCCCTCCTCTGGGTATTTGCTTGGCTTCCTTCAGGGCATCTCACAGCCTTTCTGTCTTTTTAAATCATCAGCTTCGTTTTCTTCATCGACTCACCTGAAATCTCACACCTGCCAATCCCATGCTTCAACGACAAAGCCCCTCTCTGAATAATGGGCCGTTTCTTAATGATTGAAACCTGAATTCTCACTTGGCTGATCAAAGTGTCATTTTATTTCATAAATGTCTATTAGTTCCTATTAGTTCCTCTGCTACCGGCATGTCCCGTTATTTATTTTAAGCATATTATTTCCCAGCTGCGTGGGCCCCACTGAGGTTCACCCTCGAACCCTGACAGGCACAGAGCTCTGTGTCCGGAGGCAGCGGAGAGAAAAGTCGCAGCCACAGCGAGACTGTCCGCTCCATTTTGGACGAACAAGCCTCATGAGTCAGTGGCTTCAGAAATAAACAGCCCGACACGAGGGACTGGATCCAACAAGCAGGAGGTGACGATTCTAGACGTG